TATTTGGGACACTCTGTATTTTGTAAAAATATTTTTAAATTGTAGCTCTAATAATCCTTCAACGAACCCAAAACTTACAATTTGTAAAAATCTAGTCGTTTAGCTACAATACTTCGTGTCGTATGTGGTGAACAACCCTGTATAATTATCACTTGTCATATTTCTTTAATTTCGGCAGTGACTCACTCACCGTCATCAAAATTGGTAAATCAATGTACTTCTAAAAACGTTACAAACTTCAAATTTTGAATTTTAGGTAGCATTAAGCTTGTAATGGAGTAAAAAATGAAAAAATTCGAAATATTCCAATGGATCAGAAGTTAGCTCTCTAGCCGCTACCGGTAACCGACTTTCTGGCGAAGGTAACAGCAGAACCGGTGATAGGATTGTTTTGAAAATCTGAATTTCTATATAAAGACACCTGCTCCGTCTATCTAAAATATTATCAGCGTTACAGTGTTGGCGGACCGTTTTTGTTCGCTTTTGGAATAAATTCAATTAATAAAAGTGAATTATGATTAAGTGAATTATCATTTAAATTTTTTTTCTTAAGAATAGACAATAAAATTGTTGAATTTATAAAATTGAGTGATTCTTAAAAAACAATGAATCAAAAGTTTAGGGTAAACAGAATACTTTGTATAAAAGAAAATCTGATTTCTTTAATATAAAAATTTTCATCTTCAAAATAATTTAAAGACATTAAAACAAATCAATTTTCCTTAGAATTTAATTCTAGCGTTCGAATTTCCCCAGATTATTTCTGACAAAAATAAATTTAAATAATCTATGAAGCACATGGAGGATATATCTTTTAGCTTTACAATTTTGTTGTTAATTCTAGGTTAATGTTAAATAATTTACTTGAAATTCCACGAAAATATATGCTCTTAAATCCTGTTAAAATTAATACAAACGAATATCGTAAATATAAACGTAGATTTTCAGAGAATTTGAATGTTTGATTATAGTAAAACATGGAGTATTGTCGTGTGTGTTTATTTTGACTTTGACACAAGAATATTTTTAATTGCTATATATTTAATTACTTCAAATTAAAAGGGGGAATTAAGGAAGGAATATAATACTATTTATACAGGGTCAGGGGCGGATCGTGAATTTGTGGGGCCCTGGGCTGAAACTACTTAGGGGCCTACATAAGTACTCAACTAATAGCCATATCAAAAAACTGTTTCTATAATGATATATTATTATTCTTCTTCTTTACGTGCCGTCTCTTTCGTGGAGGTTGGCGATCACATTGGCAAAATCTTCACGATTCTCGGCTTTCCTTATAAGTTCTTCAAAAGTTAGGTGAGTCCAGTTTCTGATGTTTCTCAACCAAGATAGTTTCTTCCTGCCGAGACCTCTCTTTCGTTCAATCTTACCCTTAACTATCAATTGTAAGACGTGGTATTTTTCATTTCTCAATATATGCCCTAAGTATGATGTTTTTCTTATTTTTTATTATATTGAGCAATTCTCTTTCTCTGCCTATTCTGCTGTAGACTTCGGTATTTGTGATATGTGGATTTAAGTAACATAAATGTTACTTAAATCTACGCAAGTATTAGTTGTACAAAAGGCGACCTTATTGCTGTGGTAGCAATCTCTTCGAGGCAAACTTTGGGTGAGAGAGAAGCCGAAATAGTGATATTTTATAAGAATATAAAAAAACAATAAAACAATTTTATTTATTTACTTATTATTAATTAGTAAAATAAATTGATAGGTTGTAGTCACAGAAATTGACAGTTATTTGGTCATCACATTCCAAGTCTTTTGTTAGATCACAATTTATGGAAAGAAGTGTAAGACTCAGACATAGATTGGAGTAAGTACGATTTTAATTGAATGCACTCATTCACTAAATGCTCGTCTACGTCATCGGGATAGTATTCAATAATATGACGTGCAATTTCCAAATCTATGTTTTCGATATTTTTGTCTTGCAAATCCATTAAAAATTTGAATTTTTTGCTATATGTCTCATAGACTTGTCTCCTTTTATTTAAATCCATAATCAGCATATCCAACGCAACTTTTAACGTGTCTCTTTAAATCTTTCTGCGCCGTATACTGAGAATTCACCTGTAGACTTATCTGAAAATTTTGGGATAATGCGTCTCTTGTTTATGTAATTGTAGTCTATTATTACACTAGTACCTTTGAATAAGACTAGTACTTAATTTTTTAGCTTTTTCGTCGTATTCCTGTAACATTTGATCTGATTGATGTCGTATGTTGCTCACAAAGTCTTTTAAAGAAACAATTAACTTGTTGCCTTCACAAATGTCTAAACCAGGGCTCTGTATTTTTTTATTAACTAAATGAAATCTCTCCAAAACTTCTTCCCAAAAGATTGCAGTCTCGACTTTCGCCATTTTATTGAATAAATTTCGTGCCTCTTTCCGGAAATCAACTTTCTCAACCACATTTTCGCTGAAACTTTTGAAAATTTTCATAATGTCATCATAATTATTTTTTAAGGCTTTGACAGCATCATAGTGGCAAGGCCATCTTGTCTGGCTTAAACTTTTAACCTGAATTTTAATTTTATTTCACGATTCAACAGCTCCCACCTATGGGTCTATTGTTTTTCGCGGGGCCTGGGGGCCCCTTGTATCCTCGGGGCCCTGGGCTGCAGCCCAAACAGCCCGTAGGTAGATCCGGCCCTGTACAGGGTGGCCCATCGAAAACGTTCCGCAAGGCGTTACAGCCAGGGTATTTTTTTTTTCAAAAAATCCAAAAACATGTCAATTTTGTTTGCGAGGGGGACAACTTTTGACCCAAAAATGATTGCAAAATCTTCAACCCTCTAAGCGGGGGTGTCATCCCCCAACTTTTATCAAATGGGAAGGGGGGTCAAGCGGTGTCGCAATGAAAAGGACTTTCTATTCTCTATATTTCCCCGCTTCGTTTTTAAAAATCGGTCAACTAATTTTGAAAATATGAAGGATTGAAATTTGAAAAGTACTTTTTGCAAAAAAACGCATAAATTGAATTAATTAAAAAAAAACTTAACTTAATAATGGAGCAAATGCTGAAAATGTTGCCCGTCAACCTCCATACAGTAATACAAATTATTTTCAAACCGTTCTCGAACATTCTGAAGAACTTGCGGGGTCACTTCGCGACAAACATCAATAATTCGTCTTCGCAGGTCTTCTAATGAGGCGGGTGGAGTGCTGTATACTTTACTTTTTATGTCTCCCCATAGAAAAAAGTCTAAAGGAGTCAAGTCGGGTGACCGGGGAGGCCACTCAATTGTACCCCTTTATCCTATCCACCGACCGGGAAAGTTATTGTTCAAAAATTACGCACATTTTGAGAGCAATGTGGAGGTGCACCGTCTTGTTGAAATATTAGTTCCGCTTCAACGTATCCAGGATTGTTCTCTATGATGTCAGTTCGGGCTGGGTCGATGGTATTTTTCAGTAAATCCAAGTACATATCATCTGTTGGATTTCCAGGAAGAAAAAAAGGATCCACAATAGAATTTCCAAAAATACCAACCCACACGTTCAATTTCTGAGGGTTTTGTGTGTGCACCTCGTGAAAAACCCTGGGGTTGTCCTCAGCCCAGTACCGACAGTTGTGCCGATTAAGTACACCGTTCAAAAAGAAAGTACACTCATCCGAAAAACACACATTAAATAGGAAATTATTATCACTGGCCACTCGTTCACTCATAGCTTCACAAAATTGCAAGCGACGATCAAAATCGTCTTCGTTGAGTTCTTGTACCAACTGAATTTTGTACGGATGGAAGTTGTGTTTTTTTAATATCCTTTGGACACTTGTACGATTCACGCCGGTCTCATTGACTAATTTTCTTGTACTCAGCGTACTATCCATGGCAACTTGGCCCAATACGAATACTTCCATAGCTTCATTTACTACAGGATTTTCCCTCTGCCTCTTTTTATTCATAACGAAACCAGTTTTTTGCTACTAACTCGCGAACAATTTTGCCATAAACCTGTTTGTCAGGATGGCGTTCATTGAATATCTGCGCAACCCGATTGCCACATTCATAATTTTTATAATTTAGTTCGATTATTTCCACTTTTTCTGCAAGTGAGCACACCATAATTGTTAAAAAGTTTAACGATATTGAGAAGAACTTCAACGCACAAGTCACAGAATAGCTATCTAGCAACTACCCCACCTGATCGTTCAACTTTGTAGCAAGTGAAAAAATGCGTAAACATCTAGAAATAATAAGAAAAAACAGCAAATTGTTTGACGGAATTTATCCTTACCATTTACTCTGATAAATGTTTAAATAAACTTTTCAAATTTCAATCCTTCGATTTCGAAAATCGAAGCGGGAAAGTATAAGGAATAGAAAGCCCTTTTCATTGCTGTACCACTTGACCCCCCTTTCTATTTGAAAAAAATTGAGGGATGACACCCCCGCTGAGAGGGTTGAAGATTTTGCAATAACTTTTGGGGCAAAAGTTGTCCCCCTCACAAACAAAATTGACGTGTTTTTGAATTTTCTGAAAAAAAAATTACCCTGGCCGTTATGCCTTGCGGAACGTTTTCGATGGGCCACCCTGTATATACCGTATGATCGAAAAAAACGACGTCCAGTTGGCTTGGAAATTACGATTGATGACATTCCCCATATAATTTTACATATTAAAATAAAAATAAAATCCTAAAATCTATAAATTGGGTTAAATATTAGCCTTTTAGGTTAAAAGTGGCACCCAAAAAAGCATATTCTACATTACTTTTTATTTGTTCCCCTGCCCATTCTTGAATTTTAAACAACAGCATTTAAAAATCATTTTTACTCAGTATAAACATAAGTTAAGGCCAACTAACAGTAAGTGCTATTAAAAATATAGAAAATTACGAGCCAAAGGGCTTGACCTCGCCAAAATTATTATGGATTATTATTCCTCAGCCATCTGTGACGCCGTTTTTTTTCTCGATCGTATGGTACTTAAAAAAAGTAGGTATAGAAAAAAATTAGAACTAAGACTCACCTCCTCCGCCAGAGATACTGGAAATTGTGTGATCGGTTTGACAGCAATGTCATCGATGGCAGCTTTTCGCCTGCAGAAAATTCAAAAAAATATATTAAAACCAGAAACCCAACGCCTTTGAAACACAACATTAAGGTAATTCATATAACAAAAAAATAACACTAAAAATACTAAAAATAGTGTTAAGCAGTGAAAATTAGCCATGCTCGTAATATTCAAAGAAAAACTCGTTAACTGTCTATATTATTGATTTATGTACCGGGTGTCCCACTAAGAATAGTTCTCGGCTGTATCTCGGAAAGTATTAGCCGTAGGGCTTACGGAAAAAAATATTTATAACTAATGAGGCTATGAGAAATTGCTAGAAATTATTTTCAAGTTTGTAAAACGGCCGCTAGGTGGCGCAACTGCTATGGAAAATAAGAAATTAGATTTTTTACAGAATTTTGCCTAGATAATGGGTACTATAAATAATAGCTTCATAATCTTCAGTAAATTTTAGATTTTTTTTTGTTAGAACCATTTTCCCATATCTGATAAAATAAAGTGGTGGGGGAAGGTTAGATCTATCTTTATTTAAATGTATAAACTCCGGACTGGATGATCAGAATCCAACAAACGAGGGCTCGTTTAAAAGAGCGTTTATTACTCTATATTATACCATAATAATAATAATAATAATAATAATAAGGTTTTGAACGTAGACGCTAGGGGGCGCTTTCTTACAATTTAACAAACATAGCGCGTTTTTTCAAAAAAATTAAATATGATAGTGTGTGTTATTTTAGCTGGTAGTAAAGAGCAGTAAAAGCTTAAAAGTCAGCGAAAACCGCATCTTGATATCTTCTTTCAAACCGAAGATATTAGCAAAATTATAATAAATACCAAAAAATAAGCCCTTAATTACCTTATTTTTACAATACGGTATCAGTAGCCCTCTTGATTAGGCCCATTCTAAGAAAAAAATAAGATAGAAACAGTTAGTTTATTTTAAAATCGACGAAATACCAGAATACCATAATACCAGATGTATTAATATCTAATAATTGTGATATTAATAATAGTGAACAAGAAACGATGATTCAGTGAAGTCATGGTAGGCTTTGGAAAAAAGTTGCTTTTTGCGTAATAGTATAAACGTCAAATTGTTATTAGATCAACATTTTGATAGTCTTAGCAGCGTTTTTTTTTATCTTTTAAGTGTTTTTTCAACATGCCTTTATTATTTGAAGTAGTTGAAGTTGTTGGCATTTTGAAAAAGCAATCAAGAGATAAAAAACGCTGCTAAGAGTATCAAAATGTTGGTCTAATAACAATTTGACGTTTATACTATTACGTCAAAAGCAAATTTTTTCCAAAGCCTACCATGACTTCACTGAATCATCGTTTCTTGTTCACTATTATTAATATCTTAATTATTAGGTATTTATACATCTGAAATTATGATATTCTGGTATATCGTCGATTTTAAAATAAACTAACTGTTTCTATGTTATTTTTGGGTTAGAATGGGCATAATCAAGAGGGCTACTGATACCGTGTTGTAAAAGTAAGTTAATTAAGGGCTTATTTTTTGGTATTTATTATAATTTTGCTAATATTTTCGGTTTGAAAGAGGAAATCAAAATGCGGTGTTCGCTGACTTTTTAAGCTTTTACTACTCCTTACTATCAGCTAAAATTACATATACTATGGCATTTAAATTTTTGAAAAAACGCGCAATGTTTGTTAAATTGTAAGACAACGCCCCCTAGCGTCTACGTTCAAAAGCTTATTATTATTGTTTATATGGTACAATATAGAGCAAGAAACGCTCTTTTAAACAAGCCTCCGCTTGTTGGATTCCGATCATCCAGTCCAGAGTTATTAATATTCAAATAAAAACAGATCTAACCTTCCCCCACCACTTTATTTTAGTAGATAGGGGAAAATGGCTCTAACAAAAAATATTCAAAATTTATTGAAGATTATGAAGCTGTTACTTATAGTACACCTTATCTAGACAAAAATGTGTAAAAACTTCATTTTCTTATTTTTTGTTGCAGTTGCGCCCCCTAGTGGTCGTTCTACAAACTTGAAAATAATTTCCAGCAGTTTCCCATAGCCTCTTTAGTTATAAATATTTTTTTCCGCAGCCGCTACGGCTAATACTTTCCGAGATACAGCCGAGAGCTATTCTTAGTGGGACACCCTGTACACAAACTTGTTATAGAGGACCGAACATATTATTAATAAATAACAGGAAACTAGCGTTATAGCGTTAAAATGACATTCGTTCGCTAATAAAAAAACAAACCTTGACTAAAGGTTCATGATCTTGATAGCGAAATGATCACATTATGCGAAGATCCGCTAAAACCGAGCAGTTGTCGATGTGGAAGTACGAAAATAGCTGCTAGATTTTCGGGAAAAATATATTTGTTTATGTTCGTGGCGAAAATATATACGTAAAATTTCCAAGAAGGATTCTCCGTTTAGAATTCTCTGTTTAAAATTCTCACTAACATTGGTAACAATGTTGCCGCATCGTTAATAAATTAAGAAATCTTAAGGATCTTGTTTTCTAGTAATGAACAGTTAAAGAGTCTAATTCACTAGTCCGAAAAAGTAGCAAAATAAGCATTCGGCATTTAAGGTTTTATGCCTCCAGAATTATTTATTTTATTTTATAAAAGAGACGTATGTTGAGATAGGGCTCTTTGTTATATCAATTGTTATACCAATTGTTATACTACAAGAAAGATGGAATTTGGGATAGAGCCTTTTGTTTTAAGTTATGAAAATGCCTGCGAGAGAAAATCACACCATTCTAATTATTTTCTGATGGTTGCTTGGGACAAAATAAAACTTCTATCATGTCAGCAGCTCTTTTACAGTGTGATTTTGAGTCTGTTTTTTGCCAAAAACCATTGTTAGAATGAGCTAGACTCTGCACATAGCTGTATCGGGTATGCAAAAGATTGTGTGAGAATAAATGGCCGAAAAAAAATGATCGAAAGCAAAACAACAACGAAAATTGCCCTAATGGAAAATTTCCCGAAATCATAATTTCCCTAAGAACATTTTAGCGAATCAAAAACTTGTCCGAAAAATACAATAATTTTCATCTCATTATCATTGTCCGGCCATTGGCATTGTCATCCCTGCCATTTTTTAGAAAATTGTATTTATTGTGCCTATCATCATCCAGCATAAAAACGTAGAATGGAAGTCGAATTTGTTATCGTTGAACAGGGAAAACAGTTACTCCACAGTTATTTGTATCAAAAAAGCACGAATGAAGAAACATGTTTTGTTTTTGTTTAGTTTGGTTTTTATTGAATGGACCGTAAGTTTAAATGCCTTGTATTAATGCCTCAATTAACTAAATAATTACTAAAAATATATTAGTAAAAAAATATATTTTTGTATAAAAAACAATATTATTAAAATAAGCTAGATAAGAGTATTTTAATTGATTATTATTGTCTTTGCTTCTGGAATGAAAATTGTCTTTGTTTTCAGTTGATTTAATCCAACGCGAATAAAAGTATTTAAAAATATTTGTTTCTGATTTTTTGGCGATCTTCAGATTTTTTCTTGTATGTATGTATTGTATTTTCTTGTATGTATTCCATAATGTGAATATTGTATTATTTTTTTTCCTTATTAAGAACACTTTACCATCATTTTTAAATTTATTTTACATGGGCGTATGTATACTATTCGTTCGGAAATAAATTTATTATTATTATAACAAAAAGGCCTATCTCTATTAAACAACTAAAAATAAATTATTTATTAGAATTTACACTCAATTTATCTTCAGAACGTTTCCTCAATGTCTCCGTTTAAGTGTTAGTACAAAAACACTATTAAAAAATTAAAGACTTTACATTTATTGGCCAAATAAAGTAAGTGATTTTCTTTAAACTGCTCTCCTGAAAAATACCCCTTAAAATACTTGCACTTATTTCTGGGACACCCTGTATAGCTGGTAACCTTGTAGATTTAAATCCTATAAACGGTAAGCAACTCATTCGTAAAATATGTCTTTCCTAAAATTCAAAAACACGCTAGGATTATCTATCATTTTTTTTAATACCTCAACTGATAAAAGCCTAATTTAAATTAAAAATAAATGCATTGAATGAAAGGTTTTCGTTCAAGTTCATAGATTAAAAAAACAACAAAAAAATAATAGCCCAATCACTTTGGTTAAAATTTAACCGAAGAATCTACATATGTATGTATATAAAATGCGAGGGGTGTCTCACTCGGGTAAAAAATGTACACGTACTGCCAAAATATCCTTCCACTGCTAAGCGACTGCCAGTGACTATGAAGAAGACTGCCAATGTAATTCCAATAGTGAGACACCCCTCGATAAAATGCTAATGTTTATCTGTGTCGTCTCTACTGAAGTAACGACTTGCTCTAGAAAGTTGCTTTTTTTACCAAAAGATAGCTAATTGGCTGTTCTAAAAACTGTCGTCGCCGGACTTTTTATTTTTCATTTAATTTAAAAAAAAATCAGTATTTTTTTGGCCATATGTCGTGGCGGATGCGCCAGGCTTCAACTAGTAATATAATAATTAGAGAGACGAAAGTTGTGACGCAAGTTGTGACGCAATTTATTTCTATTTGACAAGTAGAATACAAAATCAAAGTCTTGCTCTTTGAATAAACAAATTAAGGAATGAGTATAATTCTAGGAATGGAGTATAATGCTATGTATTTATGCAAGGTGGAGATTCTTGACATTTCTGTTTGACACATTTGAATTTGATTTGAAATTTCGTGGATTTATCAGTCTTTACTGAGCTTATTTTATGTTATTTATTATTTATTCTACTGCTGATAGCTGTTTAAAGGTAGCAAATCTAAAAGAAAATTGTAGCTGAACTTAAATTAACAGTGACACTATTATGATTTATCGAAAAAGACTTTAAATGGTTGGTTGTGTAGCGTGCGGTAGATCTCAGTCAAAAATCGAGTGAAATAATAGAACAACTTTTCGCTAGTAAGTGACTGTATAATATACATACGTGTAGTAAACCGATCATTTATGAAATTCACTTAAAATTAATAGACAATTTAATTGGGCATTCCATTTAAATTAAAGAAGTTATTGCCGTTTGAAGCTAATAATTATTTAAAATAAATTTTTAGACACTCTGTATAAGATAGTATTATTTTTATTATTGCAACACAATAACTGATCAATAAATAAACTTCATTAAATATTTAGTATTAAAAACATTGATACCCTTGGAGAAATGAAGCTTTAAAATTTTTACTGCAATTTCACAAAATTGAAAATATTTCAAAAACGGTAAGGTTTGGTTTGGTTTGGTTGGTAACAAATTTACCTTTATTTTAATCGTAGAAACTAAAAATGTAATAATATACAGGGTGTTCCATTTAAAAAAAATACAACTTTGATATTTTTTATTTATTTGGGACACTCTGTATCTTGTAAAAATATTTTTAAATTGTAGCTCTAATAGTCCTTCAACGAACCTCAAACTTACAATTTGTAAAAATCTCATCGTTTAGCTACAATACTGTGATTTAGCTAGTATACTGTGATTTTATAAATTTTAGATGTGATGCGTTCACATAAATCACTCCTTGACTGCACAAGTTATTTGTTAACAAGGATAATGTTTTCTATTAATTCATTTTGCTTTATAATTTTGTGTAATTGAAAGAATCAAAACCGACATTTTGTACATAATATTATATTAAAGAAACAAAATAAATAATAATACATTTATAAAATAATAGTGAATTATTATGTTTCTGAATTAATTTTTGTGTCGAAAATAAGAAATACCTTCATAAAATTATTCAATTCAAAAGTATTATTATGAACTTTATCTTTAATAACGTAGATTTTTTGTAATTTAAATTTAATAATATATTATACGATATTGTACAAAATTAAAGAAGAATTTGATGGACCTACTAAATTAAAAAAGTAAGCGATAAATGCATTATTATAAATAGTAAATTAAAACCACTTTTTTATTGAATACAAATTACTTGTCTAAAACGGATAATGTGGAAAAATCTAGATAATTTTAAAGTATGGGGATGTTATGTATGTGAATATTATTATTATATTCAATATTGTACATTGAGAAGATTCAGAAATCACACTTTCATATGCGCTTTTAAGACTTTGAAATTATGCGAGGAAAGACTGATACTATTGGCGAAATGGATTGGGTAGTGCAGATACGTAAATATTACACTTATACCTATAGGAAGAAATGATGTAGAATATCATCGCAATATACAACTTCAGAAAACCAGACCTCAAATTCTAATGCCTCAAATGCTTCATGCTTCTTTAACATTAGAAAAATCTACTGCAGGCGGGGATAGAAATATTAAACTCCGAGCAATCATCGACCATAAACCATGATTTTTGGTTTTCGTATACTTTCTACAATATCTGCAGCAGCGCTACATGCTGTGGTATACTTTTTTTTACCGCAAAGCATGCATTAATCTTTAAACTTGCAGTTATTGGTTAAGTCCTGTGTGCCCTAGTTGCTCTCCAACGGAAGACAAAAAGTCACGATGCAATGAAGACTTGAAAGATAGTATAAGGACTCCTTGATATTACCATTATTAATATGAAAGTTTAAATTTAGACTTTAATAGGATTTTAAAAACATAGTATTAAATTTTGTCAACCCTGTAACTCCTAAAAGGTTAGACCTATGAAAAAATGCTCAAAAATGGCTTTTTCTACTGGCAACACTGTAACTGCGTTAAAAGTTCCGTCTCTCTATTTTTTTTCGTTTGAAAACATCCAAAGCAATTGTGCTAAGCCAAATTGCAATTAAACAAACAAAATCGAGGTGCACTACGGGTTTCGTAAGCGTCAGGTGCGAAAATAGCAGGAAAGGCATGCGAACGACAGCGAGCAGATCGGTGCGGTGACTTTTTATTTGCTCCCTAAATTATTCTAGGCGTTACCTGAGTATAATCACTTTAAACACGGGCCCCGACAGACTCTTAATGATCGCCGAAGCGTTGAGATGACACCTCCCGTGCAGCACCACACCGTTAACCTAGAAAACGTAAAGAGGAGAAAAACACACAAACACAAAACATGTACGCCACCACGTTTTTTTTCGTGTACTAACCTGGCTTTCACGCAGCTGAACAGGAAATTCATATATCCGACCGAGAACTATTTGCTACCTGGGTGCGCGCAACAGTTTAGTTTAATTTAAGGCATATTTCGGTGGCGAGGGGAAAATAAAGGAATGAAAAAAACGATGACGGAGGTGAGATCGCGACGGCACGGCACTGACTGAACGCGAATGCCGGTCCTTCGAGCCGCGAGATCGCGATCGACGATCAAAAGTAAATAAAAACATTGTATCATGGTCGACGCGTTCGTTATCAGATATATTTTATGTTGGAAACGAGACCTACGCGATGATACAGGCGTAATTCGTGACGTCAGGAAAGTAGATCTAATATTTGCATACCAGTGTATATAATATACACGGTGTTCCAGAAAAGTTCCACATCTCGTTTCATATAAAATTTTTTTACAGAATATATGGAACACTTTTTATTTTATGGCTTAATTAAGGTAGTTTTTATTTAACTTTATGTTTTAAAAAATATTTTTTTTCAAAAGCCATATAATAGTTATTTTTTATCCTCCTCCTCCTTCCTATTACTCTATAAGAGTATAATGACATTATGATATCGTATTTATTGTGTCTCTCCATGTTGTTCTGTCTTGCGCAACAGTACTGGCCTCGTGAAGACTATGACCTATTATTGTCTTCATTTGATCCACCCAACGAACGGTTTGGAGATTTGGAGATCTCCCTCTAAGACGTTTCCCGTTCACTTTTCCCTCCACAATTAGTTTTTCTATATAGGCCATTGGTGTTCCTGGATATTTGGCCAAAGTATCTATGACTGATTTATTGATATCGACAGTCTAGATTCGATATTCAGTTGTTCTAGTATTGAAATATTTGTACGGTGAGCTTTGTACGGTATTCGCAGTATCCGTCTATAACACCACATTTCCAAAGCATCGATTTTACGTTTCATTGCCAACTTCAATGTCCAGAACTCTGAGGCATAAGTGGCAATGGGGAAAATTAGGGCTCTTAGTAGTCTGAGCTTGTTGCTAATTGAAATGGTTGAATATTTCCATATTTTTCTTCTCTTGATTTCTGCGTCACATCCTCCTTTGTTTGATATCAAGGAGCCGTTTGATATCAAGAAGCCTGCTATTGTTGTACTGTTGTATTCGTGGGTTCTCGATCGATAATCATTAATTTTGTTTTTCTTTTATTTAGTTTTAACCCATATCTCTCGCTGTCCACCTCTAATTTGTGCATAATGGATTTTAATTCATTAGCGGAAGATGCGAGTATAGGTGTATCATCTGCGTACCTTAAATTCGTTATTTGTTTACCGCCTATAGTGATACCTATAGTTATAGTCTTCCATAACTTCCCTCATTATAGATTCGCCACATATATTGAAGAGTAAGCGATATAAAATGTATCCCTGCGCACTCCCCCCTCCAAGTAAAATGCATCTGAAATGGTGTTATTTACTCTTACTTTTCCTCTGCTGTTCTCGTACAGACCTCGGATCAGCTGGATAAGGTGTTGAGGGACTCCCATGTTTTTTAGTATAGACCAAAGTTTGCTCCACTTAATACAGTCAAATGCTGCACATATGAGTCGGGATGTTAAACTCTCTAAGCTTTCTCGATAATTTGTCGGACGTTTAATATTTGTTCTTTAGTACCTTTGCAGGGCATGAAACCTGTTTGGTCTTCAGATATTTCTTTTAGAATAAAGTATTTTAGACGGCTATTGATAATGTGTAGCAATACTTTGCTAGTGTGATTAATAAGCGCTATCGTTCTATAATTAGCGCAGTCAGTAGGGCAGCCTTTCTTGAAAAGTGGTGTAAACAGTGATTCGCACCATTCTAACGGCCATCTACCAGATTCCCATGTGATAGAGCATAGTTTGTGGATGACCCCTGTACCTAGCTCTCCCATCTCCTTTATAATTTCTTCTTCTTCTTCTTCTTCTTCTTCTTCTTCTTCTTTTAGAAGGGGTATCGCCTGTTTAGTTCCGGTTTCCTCCTCGTCTAAGCAACTCTTGCGAGGTTGCCAACTGTCTTGCCAACGTTTAGGTAATCGTTCAGTAGGTCTTCTGCCATGGGGTACGTTGTTGCGAATTATTATGGCCATTCTGTCGGGGCCCATTCTATTGACATGCTGGTTCCATTCTCTTCTTCTCTGCCTTATCCAACAACGTTACAACGTCGTTTGTTTGGCACTTTTCTCTTATGTCTACATTTCTCTGTCTGTCCCTCAATGTGTATCCAGTTATCATTCTTAAGGTCTTCATTTCAGTAGTTCGTAGGATTCTCTTTGTTACTGATGTTTCAGCTCTGGTTTCCGCACCATATGTCATCACTGGTCGTATGCAGGTTTTGTATATTCTTGACTTACATTCTGTACTCAAATGTTTGTTTTTCCATATGGGATATTTAAGATGTCCTGATATTGCGGCAGCTTTATTGGCTTGTTTCCTTACTTCTTCTTCCAGGAATCCTGAGCTTGTAATTTTGCATCCGAGGTATTCGAATGACATTATCTGATCAATAGTTTTGTTTTTTATTACCAATTTGCACCGTAGAGGCTCCTTTGTAATGGTCATGCATTTGGTCTTATTTGTGGAAATTTGCATGTTAAGTTTTTCTGCCTGTCTGTTAAAAGCTTGTAGCATTCTTTGGAGGTCGTCCTCTGACTCTGCAATAAGTACTGCGTCATCGGCATAGCATAATATGTTTACTTTATGCATTCCCATTCGATATCCTAATCCAGTATTCTTGACGGTTTTTATTACTTGATCCATGATTGTGTTGAATAAAAGAGGGCTGAGACTGTCGCCTTGGCGAATACCAGTTGTAGTTCGAAGATGCTGCGTTAAGGTAAAGTTTGTTCTTATTTGGGTTGTTGTGTTTGTGTTTAAGTTTAACTTTATAATTTCGCCTGTAAATTATCCACACCAGGTGCCTTTGAGCTCTTTAATGATTTAATAGCCTTTTCTATTTCAGTCTTCATTATGGCTGGTTCTTTTTCTATATTAAGTGCAAGTGTATGCGAATTAGCTGGTTCAAGGTTTTTATATAGCTTCTCACAATATTGTTTCCATACTTCAGCTATACCTTCTGGATTTGTCACCGTCTCATTTTTTATTATTTCTTATTATCTGTGTCCGTGGTTTGAATTCCCGAGCGAGCTACCTAACCTTGTCATATAGCTCACGCGTTTTATTATTGTTTGCGTGGTCTTCCAACTCTTTACATATTCTTTCAATGTGATCATTTTTGTCCTTTCGACATGTTTCCTTATTTTTTATACAACGTGTCCTTATTTCTATACAAGATGACAAAATGGTATTTTATCGTCGACCGAAAAGCTTAATTCACGAGCGATGAAATCGCGAGTGAATTAATTTCGGGAGACGATAATGCAATTTTTATCGTCGTGTATAAAACAATATTTTTTTCCATAGCGAGTTACGTTTTACAAAATATTCAGAACTTATTATTTCAAGGGATTTATTACGAGTAGAAAAAATATTGTGCTGGGTTGACGTTGGTTTCTACGTAATTTGACAAATAAATAAAGCTGTCTCTCATGGCAAAGACATCTGATATGGAGCTTTTTTGGAACACTTGGTTAGAGAAAACCTTTAGAGAAAATATGAGGGTGTTACTTCAACGCTAATATTTATTGAAAATTATTGATCGTGACAAACTATTATAAGTTAATACTTAAGTAAAAATCTCAGTATACAATGAGTAGATCTATTATTTTAATGTCATTAATTTTGTCGTATCAGGCCTTTATATTTATGTGGGTTATGGTTTAAACAACTAGCCTACACGAATTATCCCTGCGTTACGGTCGTAGATTTTTCTGGAGCACTTCTGTTTACTTTTTCTCAGGCGGATGTAAATAGACCGGTTTCCAAAACGACGCGCCAGATTTTATTATTATTAGCAACACATCTTGATCTTGACACTCGAAATCGGGGACGTAGCTCTTTTGAAAACACAGGGGTCGTTCAATAAATACAGTTTGTATTAATTAATATTCGTCCCAAAATAAAATATTTTTAAAACGTCACGAATATAATCAGTTATCTCAAGAGATGGGGGCAGGCATTCACCAGGACAAAGGCAGGAGAATCAGTTCCTACACATTTGCCAGAATTTACAGCAGATATGATAAACAAAAATAAAAACTGCCAAAACTGTAGATCTACTGATAGGAATTACGCAAGCTCAGTAGATATTTAGATACTGATGGGATTTTTAGATGATGAAGCCATGAACAGATTTTATCAATTAGAAAAAAAAAACGGCAGAACATAGTCAATGCCAGTGAGATCGTTTGGGAAATGTGCAATTCTTTACACAATGGCTTATACTAAGGGCTGGCAAAGGTTAGTCTTGGGTCGAAATTTCCGTATATAAGAAGAGTACAATGCGTTTATAATGTACTGAACAAAGAGAGGACAGTAAACACGTTGCCAAACGTATGAAATAAACCGAGAAACTGTGCACATCGCTAAGAGACGTGGAAGGGGATATAGCAGATTTGTCGTAGTTGACCGGTCGACCCAATCAATACTAGTGTTGGGCATAATCGATTCATTTTAATAATCGATAGAATCGAAAAAATCGGATATAATAATCGAATTATCATTCATATAAACGATTATGGATCAGCGAAGTAAAAATTAGACTTTAGACTATTTGTAGACATAAACCTAACCTAACCTAAAAATATATATACAAGGGTACAATAGCTAGAAAAAATTATTTTAAAGTTATGTTTTACTAAAACAACGAAATAAAGATTATTTTGTTTGAATTTTAAATTAAGGCACATAATTTAAGCAATAATATGCATGTATTAAAAAATATTTTTAAATAAATTTAGGCAGTATATACTTGGGGAGGCTTTGTAAGAGCGTCCATTAAAAAAAATCTCATTTTT